CCTGGACCCTGGACTGCAAGGGAAGGCGGTTGCAGAGACCCATCCATGGGAAACTCCCAAGTGAGCAAGGAGATCTGGTTCTCTCTAGCATCAAGAAAAGTGACCAGCACTGGCAACCTGATCGGCTGGTCTGGGGTCTCAGCTTCTGGAAGGGAGGTACTTGCACGGACCCTTTCACTGAGGATTTATGAGTTTTGCGTGATGGGGAAGTGGATGATAAAAGTGAAAGCTGGAATTTCCCCAAACCTGCACATGTTGGGCCGGGCACAATCTTTGTCTTTTTCACGTTCTGAGGTAGCTTTATCTTTCCCTTCTTCTTCCTTCCATTTTAGGGCTCCCCCTCCCATAACGCCTTCTCCTGTCGTTCAAGCTTCTACTTCATCCACTCCTAGTGTCTACTTAACGTCTCTCATTTCCTCTCCTCGCTACCCCCTCCTTCTTTTCCTTGGTAGGATCTCACATATAGCTCAGGCACCAAGCCCTCAGCTTCCTGCCTCAGCCTCCCTAGTGCAGGATGACAGGGGTATGCTGCTACTTTGGGCCCCTAAAACTTGTCTCTAATTTCAGGTTAAGCCCCTTTCATCTTTGCTGGCAGTATTTTGTGCCGGAGAGAGGAAGAATTTGAGAGCTACTGTGCCCTCTTTTTTTGTTTTTGTTTTTGTTTTTTCGAGACAGGGTTTCTCTGTGTAGCTTTGGAGCCTGTCCTGGATCTCGCTCTGTAGCCCAGGCTGGCCTCGAACTCACAGAGATCTGCCTGGCTCTGCCTCCCAAGTGCTGGGATTAAAGGCGTGCACCACCACCGCCTGGCTTACTGTACCCTCTTGACATCCTAACTCAGAGTTGCCGAGTTGCCAATTGCTTAACACTGTAAATTCATAGAGACATAGACTGTCATGAGTTCACGTGATACACTGCTATGCTGCTGTAAAATTAACCACTAATCAATCATCAACCAATCAATAAAAATCTCTATCTCTCACATGCTGGGAGCTAAAGGTAAAATTCTGGTCTCACACGAGCTAGCTACAGTTCTACCATTGAGCTATCCCAGTCCATTATCAGTACCTCTGTATCAACATGTCTAACCCTGAGAAACAATGTTGAGCCAAAGATCAAGCCATAGAAGAAGACGTATAGTAAGATTGCATTTATTTTCAGTTACCAAAGAACTACAGTTCCCCCCGTCTCTCTCTCTCTCTCTCTCTCTCTCTCTCACACACACACACACACACACACACTTGTATAATATCTATCTATCTATCTATCTATCTATCTATCTATCTATCTATCATCTATCGATCTATCTATCTATCTATTATCTATCTATCTATCTATCTGATGTCACACATGTGAGTGTATGAGCTTTGTCTCTATTTCTATCTATTTAGATAGATATAGATATATAAATAGAGATATTTATAGATAGATATAAAGAGATAAAGCCATGTATATTTTGAGAGAGAGAGAGAGATAAGGCCATGTGCACTTTTAGATGAGGCCAAACAGACCTTACTAGTACATACTGAAAATTATCCCTGGGGCTAAAATCAGTGGACCAAAAGAATGAAATGCTAAAAAAAAATTTTTATATGACTCAAGTGGATTAATACCCTCACTGCCATTTTGTACCATGTAACTGATGGTATGTTCCACATTCTGGACGTTTTGCTCTAACTATTTGTGAAGGAGACAGATCAGCCAAGGAGGGTGAAGTTCTTTGCAGCAGGATATGAATCTTCGGAGAGATGTGTCACTGCACAAGGAGCTTTTCCTGAAGTCATACTTGTGTCCTCTCCCTGAGATGCCATCAGAGGAATGAAGCATATCACCCATCCCACCCCCACTGCGGCCCTTGAATAGACAGGAGAGATCTCAAAACCAAAATGTCTCAGGTCAAGGGCAGAGAGCCATTGGATAATAAGACTAAACCACAGTGATGTGCCAAATAACAACCTTTGTCAGTGACGCCTGTGTCTACAATGATGGCCTGTCACATTCTGGTGGAGCTGAGAAGTCCTGCCTCCCAGTTAGATCACAGTCACTATGCCATCCTACACCACATCACCCATCTGTGCATGGTGACACTGAGAGAACCAACTGCCAATCAGATCCGAGCACGGCATACCCAGCTTACATGGTACTTGGTAATAAGTCACCTGCTGCTGGTTTAGGCATATACTGTACTGTACTTTTTTTTTTTTAATCATTAGAGGGCTCATTCTTATGACACGATTTGACTGTAAAACATTCTGCTACGTGACCCCAGAACAACCTTCCTTGTTCCCTGAGCCTCTTGCTGCAATCTCCAGTGCTTGTTGTGATCTTGTGCTACTTTGTTCCTCGTGGTCACAGGAACAAGAGGCTGTACCACCTACATACAACACACAGCCTGCAACAGTGGTTACCAACCTTCCTAATACTGCGACCCTTTACTACAGCTCCTCATGCTGGGGCGACCCCCAGCCATAACATTATTCTTGTCGTTACTTCATAACTGCAATTTTCCTACTGTTGTGAATCATAATGTAAATATCTGATGGCAGGATATCTGATATGCTATGTGACCGACCCCTGTGAAATGTTTGTTCAAACCCCCAAAGGGGTCACAACCCACAGGTTGAGAACTACTGGCCTATAGTATGCTAAATGCCATCTGCCCCTTTCCATACTCCAGGTTCATCTGGAATCTGTCTTTTCCCTCCTCTCCTCTCTTCACTTGACAGTGGACTTCTCATCTCAGATCTTTGTGTGGCTGATCCCTCTGCCCTCTGACTACCTACAGATCCCCTCCGCCTCATCCAGTTTTCATCTCCAAGCTCTTTATGGAAACTTACCAACTCCAAGACGGATTAGTGTTCCCCAGAATATGTTCTGGCCTTCATCGCATTTGTGTGACTTTCAGTGGGGTTCAGGACACAACACCTCAAAACATGACTGTAGGAAGCCCCCCAAAATATACCATCTAAATTATGTCCCTATGGTGTGTTGTCTTCTTTGAGGGGTGATTTTTGAGAAATCACAGATAGAGAAGCTTTGGCACTTGCTTGTTTATAAAAGAAACTATATCTGTAAAAAAGAAAGAAAGAAAGAAAGAAAGAAAGAAAGAAAGAAAGAAAGAAAGAAAGAAAGAAGAAAGAGATCTCACTTGTTAGTGTGTTTTACTCTCTGTATCAGGAAAATGACTAAATCAACAGACTGATCTGATGCCTGTTAAATCTGAGTAAGGTCACCTTCCTCTCAATTTCACTAGGATTCTCCTGGACATCAAGCCGTAAGCAGGCTTTTCTCTCCACTGTCACATTGTTGTCCCACCACCCACTAGAAATCCAGACCCCTAGATTCCCCCTGCAGTTCAGGATGACACATGAGCCTCAATCACCTGCCTGCCTTGAGCCTTCTAGTTTAATGTAACATATAATTAAATTTGTTTTTTCTTTGGTTAATATGCCCAGTTAGTTCGCAGACTACACAGGTAAGGAACTTTGAAGTACAGAAGAAAGCAATTCTTCCTTCCCTGTATCAGTTAATGTCTGCTTCTCTCCTGGAGTACAAGTTTGTTCCCATTTCTACAGGTTTTGACTTAAAATAGGACTGGCAATAGTGAGCCCTCTCTAGATAGTTGTTAAATACATTGACTCACTGATGAGATATGGTGGGACTCTAATTCAAAATTGATTGTATATTATCCTTCCTCTGTTCTTATTCCCAGTCTTAGAATGAGAATGTTCTTGAAAACAACCAAGTTTTCAACAAAACTAAGATGAGGAGATAAGGCATTTGGCTGGGCTGCAGGATTTTGTCCAGAACAATTGTTCTTCACACTCTGTTCCAAGTGGGAAACCGAATTTTGGGGAAAAGAGAAGCACCCCAAAAGGAAGTTTGAAAGACTGAAACCTCCATTCTCCCTTAACATAGAAAAAACCTAGTGGCCAATGTCTCCATGGTTTTCACTATATATGACATGTCTTGCTGTGGGATGATCCTTCTGTGTGCTGTGAAAGTGTGTTGCTCTCATTGGTTGATAATAAAGCTGTTTGGGCCTATGGCACGGCAGGATAAGTTTAGGTACGATCAAACTGAGAACTGAGATGAAAAGGGGCAGAAATTCCAGCCTACTGCCTAAGATGCCAAGGGACTGGTAAGCCACAAACCACGTGACAATAAATAGATTAATCGGAATGGGTTAATTTAAATGTAAGAGCTAGTTAATAATAAGCCTGAGCCATTGGCCAAATATTTATAATTAATATAAGCCTCTGTGTGGTAACTTGAGAAGTGGCTGCCAGGTATTTGAGATTGGGTGGACCAGACAGAAAGACCCTTCCCTCCGTTTCCAGTTTCTCCCTTGTATGTGTTCTTCATTATAAAGGCGTTCCAGGGAAAAAGGGAGTTACTTCAAACCCTTTACATCATAATAATGATAAAAGACAGAAAGATAGACAGACAGGAAGAAAGAAGATGAAATAAAAGGAAAGAGTTAAATAAATGAACACAGAGAAAAGTAAAGGTGGCGTCATCAGAGTGACCCAGTGAAGCTGGGAGAACATAGTGCACTTTGAACCCCTCCTTAGAGAGAGTGTAATGAGAATTCTCTACAGAGTTGGGACACACAGAAACAGGTAGCAGTCACAATTTTTTTGCTCCCCAGAGAGACTGAAAATGACATTGATGCAAATGACTATAACCTATGCTTACAGGACTAAAACAATTGAAGAGCTTTATCTTCTCCGGGGTAAGTTCTGTGAAGACAGTCGTGGGGGAAGAGTCCTGTACTTATATACCAGGAAGCATTGAAATAGGATTTAAACAGTAGGAGTTATCAGACTTGTACATGACCTAGAACCAACTGCCTCCTGGGCGGGCTGAACCCTCCCCACCACTGTGAAGGGTGTTGTCTGTGGAGACATACCCGGATGTCTGACACCAACACAGGAAGTAAGAATCTGAATGCATTCCAGCCCTACCCTCACCCCAAGCCACAGCAAGTGACTGGCACTCACCCAAAGGCAGAACCACAGTGAACAGACCATCTTGTGACCCTGGTCACCTTGCTCTCTCCTGGGTGGGCAGGCAGGGATGGGAGCTAGTCCCTCTGTGTCCTTAATGCTTATCTCTCTGCAGCTGCCCTGCTTGCATCTAAGGGCAGCTGACAGCTCTTCTCTACAGAGCCACCACACCCGTAGGATGTGAACGGCATGTGTGGGGTTTTTCTTCCGGTTGCTGAGAGGCGATGTTGTCTTAATTCATTTCCGCTTTGTACTGCCGCCTCCACCTCCGTGTCCCCCTCCTCCTCCTCTTCCTCCTCCTCTTCTTCCTCCTCCTCCTTCTGCTTTTTGTCTGTCAGACTTTCTTATAAGCTGGACATACTTTGTAATTTTGAGTAAGTTAACAAAACTAATTTTTATAGGATACCTTTTCTGAGTTTTGAAACACAGGTGATCTTAGTGTTGAGTTAGATTCTCTTGAAATGATTTTTCTGGGCTTTGGTGCATCAAAATATGGGCTATTTTTAAAAAGTCAGCTGGGTTTGGTATTTTTTTGTTTGTATGGACTAAATTTTTTCTGGAGGTTTTTACTATAAATTGACATGGAACATTATTACGCATAGTAAGGATTTATTGAACTTGTGGAATATAACAGGTAATGAGCTAGGGGCTATGTCCCCAGTCAATCTCCAACTTACAATGTAGTAAGAAGCAAAGACTTGAACCAGTAGAAGGGAAGGTGAACGCCATCTAGTCCCAACCCTGTTTTCCTCTTCAGTACTTCTGAGTAGTAGATGAGTGAACCAGCTGATCAGAGTTATGTTCTATGTTGCATACTTTTGGGGCCCTTGGGCCTCAATGTCCTCACCTGAGCAATGGGAAAATCATGGGAGTGTTATAATAATTGAATGGGTTAGAATCAGGCATAAAATAAGAACTATGTGAGCGTTTGATAGAATTATTAGGACCAGTTTTGTATCTCTCCACCTAGGTCTTTGTTTTCTTCTTTCGTTTCCTATTTCCTACTCCTAAGAGTTGCCTAGGGGGTTACTTGAGGACATAGCAGATTGAGAGAAAAGAGAGGGATTATTTAAACAAGTGCTCCTAAACATCCCCTGGTGCCTTGTGTTCCCCCTCAGCTCTATCCTGATCTTGTGAAAATCCCCCCAACTCCATGGTGGGTGCGAGTGGGGTGGGGGGCATCCTCCCTCCTCATGAGGTTCCAAAGCAAACTAAAGTTCACCCTAGGAAGCCAATGAGATTATTGGTGTTACTTACAGAGCATGGATGATGCCCATGGGTAGTGGGTAGGAATGTGGCTGACGTTAAAACAGCCACACTGGAAGTCCTATACCCAACAATGAATGGTAGCTTTCCCAGGGCTGTGTAGATAGAGTCCCTTCTCCACCTGTGTGTGTGTTCCAGTCCATCCTTGAGAGTTTTAGGCCATGTGCAATTAGGACAGAATTGCATGAAACTGGTTGGGAGAAGTGGCTAGATACTCAAGAGGGTCCCATGACCTCCTGCTCCCCTTCTATGAGGGAACCTGAGTAGTCAACAAGCCCAGCTGCGATGATCTTTTATAAGCAGGCCCAACTGAACTCCTGAAGATGGTCCCAGCTTGGCTCAGAGGATAGCCATGTACAACGCCTGTTTCTTATCAAGACAAAGGAAAATCTGTATTTAGTCTCCACACCATCAGTCCCAACTCATATTTTCTTTTATACTCTTGGGAGCCCCAGTGTGTGTGTGTGTGGTGTGTGTGTGTGTGTGTGTGTGTGTGTGTGTGTGTGTGTGTGTGTGTGTGTGTGTGATGCTGTAGCTTAAATCCAACCCTTAAGCATATCAATACAATTGATCTTCCACCATGCTGCATCCTCTCTCCAATTTTGTTGTTTTAATTTCCTGTACCATTCCACTGAAATTCAGATCCATGTCATTTATGTTAAAATGTCAAGATGGCAAGATCTCATTAAAGAATATTGTACTCATAAACAGACGCCACTTCAGGCAAATACAGAAATACAACTCAGCTCAAGAGCTGCAGGTTGATCTCTGAACACACTAGTACCGAACATCTCCATCTATTCTCCCCCATGTGTCTGTAAGTGAATCAGAATAATTCCTGAGTTACTCTTCCTCTCCCTCTTACAACGCTCATTCTTGATTCATGCTATGTATCCAGACCTCGCCTAGGTTCTGAGTAGATTATTATGTTTGCAAGTTGTTATTTAATAGCATAGACTCTTCATAATGAACTGGCAGGGGCAGAGGAAAACAGCTGCACATATTTTGTCTAAGTATACCTGTATGCATTCCTCATTATTAAAGGATTATTTCTTCATTGGGCCTTTCATCTTGTTGTATAATTTCAATATATGAACTTTAGGATGTAATTTACAGTTTTATAGTGTAACAAATGCCATCAGATTCTCCTTCTAAATCACTGGTACACTAGATATACTGGGAAAATGTGGGTAGCTTGTCCATAAAACATTGGGTTTCATAGCTTACCCACTGATCTTCTTCATATCTAGATGCTTGATTCTCCCTCTGATGAGATGTCTGTATGTGGAATATAGGTGCGCGCGTGTGTGTGTGTGTGTGTGTGTGTGTGTGTGTGTGTGTGTGTGTGTGTGTGTGTGTGCAGGTGTGCTTGCCCATGAGTACCTATGTGAAGGCCAGAGGTTGAGGTTGAGTACATTCCTCCATTACTTTCCAACTTATATTTTGAGGCAGGGTCTCTCACTGAACCTGTCTCTCAACAATTCAGCTAGGCTGGCTAACCAGACAAGACCCTGGGATCCTCCCGTCTCCCCGCTTCAGCACCAGGGTCACAGACAAGTACTGTCACAATTGGCTTTTAGGTGGGTGCTGGAGATCTGAACTCAGGTCACCATGCACAGCAAGTATGTTCCCTTGTCCCTCCACTGAGGGTTTCAGACTGGAGAGAGAGCATGTTCCTTTTAAGGCAAATGGAAGAACTGAGAATTTATCTAAAAACAAATCAAAATTATTTTAGAAAAACAAGTTAGTATTTTTCACAGTTGATAAGATATAGGATTTCTGTATCTGTTTTCTTTCTTGGGATATTGGATTTTTCCTTTTGCTTTTGGTTTTGTTTTGTTGCTTACTTGTTTGTTTTTTTTCTGTTTGATTAGTGGCAGGTAATGCTGCTTGTCAAAATTTTTACAAACTCCAGATGGCTCTGACAAAGAACAAGCAAGCAGTTTCTGACTACTCCTGCCACGAAGAGAGGGTTTACATTTCTTCTGCACTTAGTCTCCCTGGCTGCTTTAATTAGCTTTTTCATGCTGTCCCCATTGGCTGAAATCTCAGTTAACACCACAAAATGGTTCACAGCTCTCTGCTAAACAGCAGCCGAACCCCAGGCAGCTGCTGTGGTTTCGGCGTGGTTGTTTGGTCTAAGGGGCAAACGGTGCACGGAATGGAGCGAAAGGGGAAAGTGAGGAGCACTTGAGATAAAAGGGCTGGTCAAGGTGTACGTGTGTGTGTGCACACGTACTATTCACATTTGTTTGACTCACTTCCTTCCAAGATTGAAAATGTGACCAGCCACTGGGAATCAGCTTCCCACTAAAGAATTCAAAGAAGTATGCTCAAGCATTGGTTTGGTGGGTTTGTTAAGAACAAAGTTCTCTGTCATGTCTTGCCTCATCCCTGCTTAGGCATGGCAATCAGTGTTGTGCTGTTCCTTTTTAACTGGGGAAAGCTGGATTCAAGCTCTAGCTTCTTCGCTCATTCAATACCTATGTGTACCTGCAGGTTGCCTGGAGCATCCCTGAGCATTTGTGATTCCTCAGACATGACACTGACCCCACCTCAGAGGAGACATGGATTAGTGAGACAAATCTTTCCCTTAGCAGGATTAGGAAGCAGGATCATGGTCTGAATGTGATGCTGCAAACTCAGGTATTAGAAACTTAATCCTCAGCCTCATAGGGTGTTGGTCATTTGGAGGTAGTTAAGATTAGATGAGGTCTTGAACATGGCATCCCCATGATGTTGTCAGTGGCTTCATAAAAACAGAAGATCGGCCCAGGCTAGCGCCATGTTCTGCCTCTCACAGCAGTAACCTTCAACACTGAGGATGTAGCAGGAAGGCCTTTTCCGTAAACCAGATGGAGCCGCTACCCAGTTTTGGACTTTTCAACCTATAGATCCACTGGAAAAATAAACTTCTATTCTTTATAAATACTACGGCCCAGGAGAACTTCACTATTTCTTGAATTTTACTTCTCACTCTGCCCATTTTTACTCCCCGCTAACCCCAAGACAGGGTTTAGTCTAGCTCTGTAGACTGGGCTGACCTTGAACTCACAGAGATCCGCCTGCCTCTGCCTTTGGAGTTCTGGGATTAAAGGCGTGCACCACCACCACCTGGCTTCTTTACTCCTTTTCACTATAGCATCAAACATCACTACTTGACAATGGTATCTGTGGCCACCATTTTCAAGAATGGCTATTAAGAGGTAAGTGGCATTTGCAAGAATGAAACTGTCCTTCTGGCTGGAGGCAAGTGTGTGAGGAAACACGAACACAGAGAAGAGCAGAATGAAGACTGAATTCTTTATCAGAGACAATAGGTGGGAACTCTAAAAGGTTCTGATTTATTGAAAGCAAACACTAATTTCTTTGTAACTTATATTTTTCTTTCAATGTCTCCCTAACATTTTTGCTTCTTTTTTAAAAGACAACATTAGCCAGATGGTGGTGGTGCACAACCTTTTATCTCAGCACACAGGAGGCAGAGGCAGGTGGATTTCTGTGAATTCAAGGCCAGTCTGGTCTACAAAGTGAGTTTCAGAACAGCTAAGACTGTTATATAGAAAAACCACCACCACCACCACCAACAACAACAAAAAAAACCATTGCATTAACATGATAAAAAGAGATTATATGAAGATTTCATTCTAAAATTAGCTTTATTAGATTGCATGTGTACTTTGTATAATATGTAAAATGGGTATAGTGATATGTACGGATATTTAGTATGGGATTTGAAAATGAATACTGATGGAAAGGTCTTCTCCAGTAAAATATCAGTCCAGCATTTTAAACTTAGCTACACTTAAAATTTTCTTAAAATCACTTCTTTACTGGATAGTAACCAGTTTTTACTTCCTA